TCTGTACTGCATGCAGGACACTGTGACAGACTCTGACTGCGCTTGATTCTGTCTTCATACCAGACTCATCAGTGCCCTCTGCTGGGTCACTACTCTGCCCTGTTAAGATGACCAGATGAACGCATGAAATCTGTATGAAGGTAACAGGCTCTGCCCTGAGGGTCAGCACAACATGACGACCTCGTACATGAACGTGCATCCAACACCAACCAGGAGAGATAAATACAACATGAACTGTTTTGAAAAATATGCAATTTCATACTGTTGAGCACAACTGAAGTCATTTAATAATTTGCATTGATAAATAAAATAAAATAAAATAAAATGTAACACACATGATGAAATCTCAACACAAAGACGATATGATTAAGAGTGACATTGTCAATAATAAGTCGCAGATAAATACTATATATAACATTATATAAGTGAGAAAAAACAGGAAGGAACTTGTTACCTTCAGCCTTTCCGTAGAAGAGTGTATTCAGCACTAAAATAAAGATTGAAACCTCATCAGACATGATCAATCTGACAAACAGTCAAAATCATAATAAACTACAGCATTTAAGAACCAGGTGGATTTTCAGCTGAAGCAGCTCTTGCTTATCAACTCATTTCTGAGGCAATACTCAAAAAACAAAACTCAAAAGAAACACATGAAATAAAATGAGAAATATATTAAATCTATAAACATAATACCTTAGACTATATACTGTGCATGCATTGTACAAATATTTGTCCAAAATAACTAGTACAGTCGTGTATTTAGTCCACCACTCTGAACCAAGAATAACCAACACACATGGTCATGTCAACAAAAGATTGTGAAAATGACTGATGTACTCACAGAATAAGGACAGCACACAGAGCAGAGTGTGCCCCATCTTCACATCCAGCACTGACACCGTCGCCCTGCTGCTCTGCTTCTGGGAAATGTTCCAACTTTACATGAATAATAACGAGCAAAAAGAGAGAGAAAAAAGGACGTTACATAAGAAGAAGAAGTTACATTTCATACAAATACGAGATTAGAATTTCTCTCGACTTCTCCTTCTGAGTATAGCCTCTCTGTTCTTCCTTCCGTTTTGCACAAAACTGAAGACAACTAACATGGCTTTGACCACAGTACACGTTCACATGTTTACACTTCCTGCCGATTGAAAAGATATATTAGCTTGTTTCTTGGCAAAAGTTTGTGTCTTTTGCATCCACAATGCCTGTTATTGTCATGAGTTTTGTTGCGTGTACGCACAGTACATTGTGTATGTCTGTGCTTAACACTTTCCATAATGTATGATATAAAATGTCAAAACTTATTTACTGATGAAATACTCAAATACTCAGCAATAACACTTGTGGTGATGATATAAAACCTTAGGACTCAAGAGAGCATCAGTGACAATGAAATAGTAAATATGGCATACACTGTGTAATGTGGAAGTGAATCACACTATAACCAACAGCACTATTAACAGGTGTTTTTAAACCAGCAGGTGCTGGTGCATTTCCATTCTGTGCACAACAAGTTCTGAAAATCACAGGTTCTTTAAATTTGCACGAAGCTGTGTTTTTAAAGAAAAACACTTTCAAAGGTTCTCTGCAATGGCCACAGAAAAGACCAGAGAAAGACTCACTGAAATCAACCTATCACACATTCTCACACTCATTGAGATGCTATTTTTATCTGAAAATATCCCCAGGTATTCATCTTAAAATCACAAAATTAAGCTGCAGTACTATGATGAAAAACACCCGATAACCTCAGAATAGTATCTGCAGATCTTCTCAGTTTGGAGTTGTATTCTGGTTTCTCCACAATTTTCCTGCGAAACCCCACACACAGAAAATGACCAACTGACTGCCCCATATACCAGCTAGCCTGTTCTACTATTCATAGCTGTAATTTAATTGTTTTTCTCATACAGCATAGAACAACTTAAGAAACTGAAAGCATTTTTGTTGGTATTCAACAACCACAGTTACCATGACACTTTAACAGGCTGCTAAAACTCACAGGCTAAGGCTGCCTGGTGGTTGTGTGGTTAAGAAGCATCCTGGGCAGACTCATCCATTGTGTGGGGGCCAGAATAAACACAGCAATGTCTTGCCTTCAGCAAAATAATACAGACTCAAAATATGATTCATTTAAAAATCATATCACCCTAAAGCAGGACATCAAATCTAAATCCTGAACAATAAAGCAGTAACTTGGATAATTAAGTGGACACATAGCTGTTAGATAAAAGCTCCCATTAATGTATGTAACTTGAATTAATGTAGTTTGAAATACATCCATGCTTCTTTTAAAAGAACTTTGAAACTTGAGCAACAAGGGCCTAAGAATAAGCAAGCCAAGTGCCTGCTCATGAGCGCATTTGAAAAAAAAAAAAAAAAAAAAAAAAAATTCCTCTTCACACATTAAGATGTGTTGCTGTGATAGAAAGAACTATACAGTGTCATCAACACATTTCAGAGCTAATGCATTTGCAAACAGAAATTAAGAAGTACCATATACAAATCAGGATGTGCCATGTGGTAGAAAATTAAGTCAAGTGCAATGCATATTAACTGAAAATGTAGCAATTTGAGCATTATGTTTGAAATTGTGTTTTTAATTGTTGAATGTTTTGAACAGCAACTAGTGGTGGCATAAAAATGTTGATGGTCAATATCTGAAATATCATGAAAAAACAAAGCCAGAAGGTTGAGCATGTGAAAATTTGTCAAACGGTCCCACTCTGTTCTGCATCATTAACACCCTATCGCCTCTGTCTGGTATATGTGGTCAGCTAGGTGTGAAACATGTCACTTGGCTGATAGTACACATTGAATGAAAGACTATTTCCTCATTTTTAGTACAGCAGCTCCGAGTAAAAATGATGGCCATTTGTTTTCAGTAAAGAGATGATACAGATAAGCCTGTAGCCGAAAGAACAGTTGAGGTTATTCTAATAAAAAATATTCAGAAAGATTTTGTATTGATGTCATGTTTCTTATTTTGTTTTCTCATTTGCAGGTCCATCTGAAACAGGGATTAATTTACTGGAACGTCGATGAATGATTCACAATCATTTAACTTCATGTTAACAACAATCATGTTCTTAATCCAGTGATACAAACTGAGTATCACCAGTCGAAACAAAATTCTCTTATTGTGTTGGCAATCAGCACTTCTCAAATAGCTTTCAAAGGTGGGTTGTCAATATGGAAAGTTTCAGCATCTTGATTTTTGCTATCCACCACTACCGTTCATTGGTGCAGTGGTAAGCATGTGATCCCAAAACAGTCAGTTGTTTGTTGGAACTTGCTGTAACCAGGAAGTGGACCTCAAGGATTAAGCAAAGTCCGACAATGCAGATCCGAGTCTGAGATGTCAATGGCTGGCATAAGGAAGGAAACTACTTTTCATTTAGGTAACTGTTTTTTCCTTTAGTGCAACACTCAACCATTTTTGGTTTAATTGACATTAAGTACATGTAATGTTTTGAGCCAATTCAATGGGTTCTGGGAAGCGATCTGTCATGAAGCACAATCAGAATTGAGTGGAGAAGAGGTAAGTATATGTTCAGCCAACTTTCATATTTTTTGGTCTGTAGTGACGCCGGTGAAGGAGTCTGAGGTGCACACCTGTCACAACATGGAGCCACGAAAAAGACATTTGTCATTACATGCAAACTGACAAACAGCTTTTTTTTATTAAAATTCAAAATCTTAAAATATAAGGGAGAATTCATCTATGATTTTGAACAAGCATTATCCGGAAAAACATCTCACCCTTAACACTTACCAGCAACACAACGATTGTACAACAGGGATTGTAATGAGTTGATTAAATGAAATTCCAACAACCACTGCAGTGATCAAGGACACAAGAAATGAGGAGTTTGCAGAACTTGACACTGCAAGCCAACACTCTTATGACATACTACTTCACTTTTCTCACTAGTATGTTCTCATTAGCATAGAAACAGAAACTATTTTTTCATGATTGCCGTAACATTACAGAAGTTATGAGTATGAAACTGTTCAAAAAGAAATTCAGTCTTTATCTATGGTCAAAATAGTATAGCCACAAAATGTCAAATTTTAGTCTTCATAATACGATTCCAAATTGATTTCACTTCATATGAGTCATGAGTGGCAGGGCAGCAAATAGTCCTACACCCTTTCTTAGAGTTATATTAAAAAATATATATAATTATGTAATGTAACTAATTTACTATTTTATTACACTCAAGCAAAGATGAAATCAGCTACAGATACTACTTATACCTAAGTGTGAAAAAAAGACCTCTCTTTCCACCTTATACTATACCACTACTTTACAAAAGTGAAGTTAAAAAAAAAAATTAAAAAAAAGCCCAGCTTCTGCAAAACTTCTGTAGTGATTCTTCCTGTTAACACTGACACTTGTAGAAGGCTCTAATTTTGACACTGCGAAAATATTCAGTTCCCCTCTGGTTTCACTCTGAATTTGTTAGTTTCCCTAACAGCCTGCTGTAAGTTTTCTGTCAAGATAAACTGCATCTCCCTTGGCCGGAGGATGGGCAAATTTAGCTATGAAATAGAATATGACTAGTTTAAAATTGAAAAAGATCAGAAAGTAATTAGTGTTTCAGTTTTATCATAACATAACATGTCATCGGACCCTTGTCTCAGATTTGTTGTGTTGGTATCAATTAGGATGATTTGAGTCCCCCTAGTGGTCATTTACAGAAAAGGCTTCCATTTAAAACTGCACAGTGTGCTTGGGTCTAAGAAGTATATTGATTGAAACACATAAATGTGATTTGCATTAGTGCATGCTATTCTGCTGGTTGATAATTTTCATTTAAAAAAAACTATGTTATTGACTAACATTTACAGGATTTCAATTAGGATGATTGATAATAAGACCAAACAAGTTTAGACCATAACAGAGTGAAGACAATGAAATACAGTAAAATATATTTTAAAAGCTATAATTATTTCAAATAAAACAGAGTTAAATAAAAGCTAGACTAAAAACTAATTAAAATAAGTGTAAAAATATACTGTATATCAGGAATTGTACTTTGGGCACAGTTACAGCAACATTTCCAGAAGACAGGGATGACACAGTAGAACGGGGTTTAGGCAGAAAAATGAATCATGAACAATATATCCAACTAACTACTACTGCAGTTTGATCAGAGCCCTTCCATAGAAAAGCAATAACATAAAATAGTGAGACTGAATGGAAGCAGGGAATGATAAAGAATTAAACATTTGGACAGTTAGTACAACACTGACTTGTTGATTAAATAGATGGAAAGAAGAGTTAGAGTGAGTGCATTACACTATAGCTCCTTTTCTACATGTACACACTGTATATCCTTCTGTGTGTGTTGGCCCATGAACAATGTAGGAATCCTTTAGTATGTTTAACGTTTCAAATCATATAAAGATGCTAAAATCTATGCCCTTTAGTGATCAGTGTAATATTCTTTTTATCTGAATCAGCAATGAAAGTTGCATATCTAGTCTGTACAGACACTAACAGAAACACCCAACAACATTTTCACTAAGTCCTAATAGGGTTTTAAGGAAAAAGTGACCCATTTTAGATCCTAATGACCCAGTTAAGTTCTGGTTCACTGCTTTGTGCCCGTGTCATATCAGAATCTCTGAAACTCACATGAAATACTACCTTTTCCACTTCCTGTTTTTTTGCATAAGGCTATATGTTTGGTTTGCATTGCATGCAAATATTTGTGGTAAAGAATAAACTCTCATACTTCAGTTGACAGTCTGTAGCTTACTGGTGCTGCTACTGACAACGCAGGTTGTTACAATGACATGTTTTGTTCATTCACATGTTCATTTGATTAATCCACACAGCACAGAAAATTGGCCAATAAATTGTATTATTGAAGAAAATACATTTAATTTTTAGACAAATAACAAAACCTATAAAGATTTGTCCTCCAGAAAAAAAAAAAAGAAATATTGAATGAATGTCCTTATAGCAGGCTTCTTTCATTTGTCATGTTCATCTGAAAATCTTGATTGACCTGCAGGTGGTGCTATGACTTCAGATTTTTTGACTTTTGCAACATACTGTACACTGTGTCAATTTGTGTCGGGTGCTCTGCCTCATCCACGATGACGGACTGTGAAGTTGATGCCTCTCCTATCATCTTGTGTCCACTCATATCTTTACTGCAGTCACTCTTGCCAAGAGAAGGAGTCACATTCCTTGCCTGTAAAAAACTGTAGACAGTATCTACTTTCTCACTTGGCATGGACCCCATTTCCTCTCTTGGACTGCTGGTCTGCCTGGGCTGTGAGGCATCCACGTTTTCATAAGGGGCCTCAGCTTCACTGGAGGAAGAGGTAGAGACTCTAGGCTCAGGTTGTGGCTGTGCCTCAGTTGGCTGACTTTGTATTAACTGAGCAGGTGATGTCTGTCCCTGGAAATAAGCAACAAAATGTTTTCAGTATCTTAATTTTTTTTTTTTTTTTTTTTTTTTTTTTAAAAAAGGCACATACAGTGAAAACTACATTTCACATATTTGTAAAAATGAACATTAAAAAGGCAGTACACAATCCTGTCAAAAAATTGTTCTAATTTATTTTCTATTTATTATTTTCTAATTTATTATAAATTTATTTATAAAGTTATATAACAAATATCAATATTGCTTAGTAGAGTAGTAGTGCAGTTTACCTGACAGTGATTATATTCTGAAGAAAATCTCTTAGCCATAAAAGCAATCAATGCACAGACACATACACATACACACACTGCAACAAGTATTAATATTAAATGAAGTGGTTGTGAGGTCTCTTTCTGTTCAGGATTAGATTTACTGAAGCCTGGAAAGACATAAAAATACATTAGCAGATAATTCTTTTCAGACATGAAAAGGGAGTGAAAATATTTCTGTGTATTTCAGTACAATAACTGAGTGAGTGGTAAATCAACAAACACAATCTATATGGCTACATTTAAAAACAACATACAATACTTACACGTTGTTGCCACGCTCTTAGAAACATTATTTGTGCTAACATGGTTGTTGCCGCTGCAGACAACAGTTCTGTTGTCAGAGGAGATGGTGATGTTGACTTTACTGAATGACTTCTGAGATGTTGCGCAACTGTCCACATCACAGACAGACCACAACCAGTCATCATTGATGGAGCAGTTGACTGTGATACTGCAGAATCCAGCGGACAGGTTGGAGCGGAGCACTGACATTAAGATGACAGGTCTAGGAACAGCTTCTGCAACACGCAGCAAAGCAGATAAATGAATGGGGCATTAAATAATTTAATGGCACCCTCTGCTGGCTACCAGTTGCAAACATGAAAAAAATATTATACTTTGAAAGAATGTACGTAATGAACAGTCTCCTAACTATGAGCAACATCTAAACTAGTGAACCAAACTATTGAGCAGTTTTGAAGTTGCAGTGAGAAATATTTGCATATGACGGGGTGACAGTGACAGATTATTTTATGTTCATTATGCCTATTCATTCACGTGTTAAGGCTAATCTTAAGATAAATGCATCATAAAATGAGAAAGGTATGGACATATAAAGCAGATCAAGCCAGTCTTAAGACAATGTACCATCTACTGTAAAACCTACCTTGAACAATGACTCTGTGTTTTTCAAATACAATATTAAAGAGAGGGTCCCGGAAGCTGACTTCGTAGATGCCAGTGTCTGTGTGTGTCAGCTCTTTTAGACACAAGGAAAGGTTGGCATGATTGTAAACCACCTTCTCTGTGTAGTTGGGGTTGACTTCATCACCTGCAATAAATTTTCCACCAAGAGTCCATGCAGCATGTTTATATGGCGGTGGTTTTCTAACATGTAGACATAGTGAGCTGTTTTTCAGTTGGTAATGTGTCACTGTTGGGTCCTCTGCCATAACTCCTGATAAGACAGATCCAAAGACAGTGAGGTAAAATACATTATTGCACCTTACAACATCTACTTTAGATAAAAGATATTCTGAGATAAGTATGATAGGTCTTCATATAAAATTAAACCTTTTGTTTTGTAGCAGCAAAAATCAGTAAAACGTTGGTAAATGGTAGCAAGCATTTCTCTAGATCTTAGAAAACATGCAAAATCTTTTAATAATGCTGTATGAGCACAAGGGATTAATTTGCATTTCTAATAACATAAGAGCAATTTTATAATTTTGCCAAATTTCAAAATTAAATTGACTACAAATTAACAGAACTTTTATTAATCTTACCTGCAAGAATCCAGCAACTCAGAAGAAGAAACATTTTTAATCCACGTAATGTTGCACTACTGTGTATGAAATTGTTGAACAGGAAACAGTTCTATATGGTGCATGTAGCAAAGAAGCGACTGCAGTTGTCACATCTTTGAAAGGTCAGGAAGTGGCACACAGTGCAGATGTTACTCAAGTTCCAATGAGAGCAAAGACCTAATTTGTTTAAATTCATTTGAACACAACCCACATTGCTGAACCCTAACTCCATTGTACAATTAATGTGCCTATTAGCCTCATTTGAGAGACAAGAAGAGGTGACCAGGATGTTCTGTTGTTGTAATATAGTTGCATTTTACACAGTCAGAATACACACTTACTTTTATCCTTAATTATTTGTTCTACAATGTTGAAACCAAAATGCTTCCATGCATTACTTCTCATACGTCTGGCGTCATGGTTAAATGATCAGCACAGCATTTCTGCTTTTTGTGAATTTTGAAGACTTAATTTAGTACACAGTATCTTTTCTCATCTGCAAGTAGCATACAATTACATCAGTCTTTCTCCTCCTGCTATTTTGTCTCTTGTACCATGATTTAAGAATGAGATTTTGCCTCTTTTTGTCAATGTGTGTGTGTGTGTGTGTGTGGTGTGTGTGTGTGTGTGTGTGTGTGTGTGTGTGTGTGTGTGTGTGTGTGTGTGTGTGTGTGTGTGTGTTCACACAGGTGGTTTGGTTTCGAATGTGCAAACAAACAATGTGACTGTGGGGTTTTCCTGTGGTTCATGCAGGAAGGTGAGGAATATTTTCACCTTCCTAAAGACATATTTAAAAGTACTGACTAAATGTCATTATTGTTTTTCACCTTTATCTCTGTAGATAGAGTATGTCAATATACATTTACATGTACTATAAAGGCATTTGCTGATTATTAGCTATGTGCAGCATTATAGGTCAAGAATTACCTGCTGAAGATGTCATCAGTGGGGATTTTGAAGTCATGGAAATTACAGCCATACTTTTTACCTGAAAGTCAAAAAGCACCTTGGTTATACTATGACATGAGGGAAAGTAATTCAGTGACTACTATAATAGTACATTACCGTGAAAAAAATTCCGCTTTATGGTAATGTACCAAATACCATAATATAGTGCTGTTGTTTGTCTGAGCATAATACTGCTAATAAAACATAGGTTGTCCTTAGTTTGTAAGCTACAGCTACCATTACAAGTTGTCTCTGTTCGACTGAGTTCTGTTTAACTACAGAGTGTAACAGCTGAAGGCAGCAACACAGGCTGGGAGAACCCAAGTACTAACACACAGGCAGGTAGGTGTAGTGAAGGAACTTAGGAATTTACAAACTGAAAAGAATCAGGCTTACAGACAGATGGATGGACAAGCAGGAAGGCAGGTTACTACATGCAGTTAGCAGGCACATAGGGAAACACACGGGAACACAGACAATCTGACAACGACTGGGGCCAAAGGGATGGTCTAAGTAGTAGGGAGCAGACAGGGAACTGTCACTTGGCCGGGAAGCTCAGGTGATTAAGAGTGCAGTGTTTCCCCTAGGTTGCAGAAGCAGAAGCTACAGCAGACTTGCTAATGCTAGCTTCCCTGCCATCAGCAGCATAACTGCTTGCATCTTCAACACTGACTGTGTGGCTTTTAGACATTTGAGAATTACGTCTATCCTTCTTTAGTTTTAGATGGATTTAAAACACTTATTGGAGAGTTTTAATTGCACTTAATGAAACAAGTTGTCAACTTGTCTCTCCTCTGTTCTTGCTCTGTATGTGTGGAGAGGAGCAAAGTCACACACACAGTGAAACGGAAACGGAGAAGAAAGAAACAGAAACTGTAAATAACAAAACACTGTAGCGACTCTTCCACTGAGCTGCAATAAATCTAATGCACATTAATGAGGTCTATGACATAGATAAGATATTTTGTCTTTTTAATTTTATTCATTTATTTATTTACACCCCACAGTTCCCTATAGCTATATAACATTAACTGATCATACTGCCTTGTGTAGTAGAGACCCTTGGTGGGGCCATGGGCATAGTTTCAAATTTATTTGCGCTTTTACCTGAAACTATACAGTAAAGTACTATAGTTCTTACAACCTTTATTCCCTTATTCTGAAACTAGAATTAACTGGCTCCCTGCAATACGATTAAGGAAAATATAGTATAAGTAGCAGTAGTATTAGTAAGTATTAGTATTAGTAACTCCAATTTGAGTTTTATCTAGTAGGCAATATTTATATACCCCTTTAAACAGTTGATTCAAAACACAACACAACAAGTGTACTTCAAATGCAGTCAACACATTCAGTTATTTAACAGTCCAGGTACAACACAAAACAATATCACTTAACTGTAACTATGTAACTTGACATAATACCTGATATTGAACACAAAATGATTATTAGCTCCTCTCAATACATTCAAGTCGTTTTTAAATCTCCATCTTTTACCTCTAATTGGGCTCTAATTGTGCAAAATCCTCACATCAACAACATATGGTGGGCCCACACTCACGCACTCTCAGCCTGCAACATAAACCATAACGTCTAAAAAGGTCTGTAGCAGGCCTGACTTTTGGCTTAGGGGTCCAGAGGCCTTAAAGCAGTAATGCTCGTTTCGCTTGTTCACATTGCCTAAAGCAATAAACAAAAAGGCACATTCAAGAACAGCACACCAACAGGCAGAAAACTGTTCACTGAAGCCTTAACTGCTCTCTCTCTCTCTTTTACACTTACAAATGTCCGTCTCCTGGATCAGAAACCGCAGCTAAGCAACAAGTCCACAATCTTTTTCATAGCGAGCTAGCAATAGCTTGTCTTAACCAATTACTTCATATCCAAAGCTAACAGTATAGCTGCAAAGCTAATAGCGATTATGCTAATGTTAGTTGATACTTTCAATTAGCAACGTAACTCGTTTTCCTTTTGCTATCACACAGTATTGAAAACCAAACGCAAACTCGTATTTACCTCTTGTAGACCACAAAAGTCCAAGTCACGGGATAACTGGTCGCCAGTTATGGACATTATTGCTCTCGTATAACAAACACCTGTTGCCTGGATGGTGATAATTAGCTTCTTTTTCCCTCCAACGCCAGACCGAGCGGTTTAAAAGTAAGCCCCGCCCCTTTACCTGAGAGTGGAATTGGATTGGCTGTTAGTTTTGGGAGACTCCAATTAAAGGAAAGAAAAACGAAGATTGACTTATTATGCCGATAATCAGTTAGGCTGTTAGGCCAACAACACCTGCTGGTTCATGTACACATCAAACAAACTATGCTAAGTTGCACTGACTCCAGTATTCAACCTTTTAAACCCTATTAAAACTCTTTTAAACATTTTAACATATTTTATGACTCATATTTGTATATATTTTATGCACCAACATATATTTCAACCATGTTAATGCATTTTGTAAAACTATTTACATCTTAATGTCTAAATGAATTTGACTTGATTTTGACTGAAAACAGTACGAATTAAATATAAAACCAAAGAGAAACGATGAGAAACAAATATGTACCCTTCTTGAATAAGCAGAAAAATGCCATACCTTAGCAGACACACTACAATTTGCAATATGCTACTTATACCATCTTGTTTGGGCCTTTTATCTTTCATACTTTATCTGCACCTTTGGAGGCAATTCACATAGGTATGGTTTTGTCTAATGCACACACACAGACTTTGTAAATAACAAATTTATTAAAGAAGGCACTTATAAAGTATATTAGCAGTCAGAACAATGAGCTTCCAGTATTCAGAGTGAGCCATATACAGTATACAGTACAGGCAATACAGTATAAACAAGCACAACCTCTCACCAGATATTGATACTGAAATATTTTCAGTTATTTTGAATATTTTTCATTGGCCTTGTATGGAACAGCAGAGGATTTTCATTTGAACAGTGGCACTTAATCTCAAGAGCACACATTTAATACTATAATACTTTTGAATTGCTAGCAATGAACATAAATCCTTGACTCCCTTGAAAACTAAAACTTGGTGATTTATATTTTTCAGATATTAGTGGGATCAGGGATAGCCTACTGTATTATTAATTTTTAATGGCATACTTGTTGGCATTTCAACCGAAAACACTTTTAAGTATAGAAGAAAGTATTTTTCTGATGTTCAATATTCCTTTACTTAAATGATCAGATAATCCATTCTCTAAAAACTGTATCTTTTCTGTTAACCAATGTTTTAACTAATCCCCTTGAAAGTAGGATCATTTCATTTAAGTTACCATGTCTATGTACAGTTAAAAGAGAGAAAAAAAAATCCAAATATATGTTTTTATCTAATATTAAAAAAGGTTGTTGATTAGATACATATTAGCATAATCCATAGAAACTTTCACAACCACTGTATGAAAAAAATGACAGCAGTAAAAAGACGAGTGTGCTATATTTTACAGAAACTGTGCACCAAAAACAATTAATATGGTATACTGAAAATGCAGAGTTGTATATCAAATCTCAGGACATAAAGAAGTCAAGAATGTGGAAAAAAATATTTTTACACGTGTCTGTACAGAAGTACATTAAAACACATACTGTACATGAAATTTAAAACAATTCACAAAAAGGTTCATACAAACAGTATTATCACATCCAGTTACACCTTTTCAAGCGTAAACACACACTCACACTCACACACCCCAAACATAACCACAAGATTTCATTGTTTAATACAGTGCATTAAGAATCAAAGTTAGTTCAGTTATTTCCTTTGTGTAAAATGCCACTTTTCTTTCAAGTTAAAGTGCTTTTAGTAGAATATTACGAAACATGTTTACCCCAATAAACCAGGACATTCATATCAAAGAGCACGATATTTTCCGGTGTAACAAGTAATGGTATTGTTAGAAACTTCTACGCACATAAAATATAATACATTCCTTTTAAATCTTTTGTTAAAAAAATAATATGGTTCCAGTATTTTCGCCACCTTTTTCAGGTATTTTATTAATTAAGAAAAGAAATAAAATAAAAACAGTACTGTGATTCAGTGATTAACATCCACTCAGACATTCACCTCATTACAGAAATCGTCTTTTGTCTTTTATCTGTAATAAATCCTTATTTCCTTAAAACAGGTAGAAGAAAATATGTTGGGAGAAAAATTTTATGTGTATCCAATAAAAATTCTACTTTTTCTCTTTTCTAAGTTTCAATTGGAACTGGGTTACTTGAAAAAAAATGTAATTATAGACAGACATGACCTGATAAGATGAAGATTTTTGCAGTGTTTGAGTACCTTCCAGTTACAGTAAATGAAGTCCTTTCCACAAACAAAAGAAAAATGAATATAAGTTTAGAAAATGTCTCTATAGATGACTTGATGTTTTGCTGTACATTTGTACATGTCAAGTTTGTAACTTGTTCCCTTTGTACTTGGTTGCAGTCATCCTCAGTATCTTCTCTACAGACTTTCAGTTACAGTAGCGCATTGGCACATTGTGTCTGTGTGTGTGGTTGGTGGGTGCAGTGAAAGTGCACCCAGGTGTTTACTGTCATGAGGTCCACACTTGTATGCGTAGGCAGAGTGTTGTGTGGGGGAGTGTGTTTTGTGTTGAGCAGCCTGGTTCTGTTTTCCTGTCTTTACCTTTCATCTCGGTTTCATATCAACTTTCCACAATCTCTTCCTGTCTCTGCTCCCTCAAACATTACTAATACGCACACTCAGTGGACTGCTATCTCTGACACGCCCCCTCTCTCGCCCCCTCTCCTCTCCCCTGTAGCTCTCTTCCAGTCTCATCTTCTCCAGGTCAGTCCCATCTTCCTTGCTGCCGTGGTAACTGGACGCCTGTGAAGGGGGGCTCGGCGGCAGAGACTGCTTGAAGAGGGGTGGCGTTTTGGTTTTGGCCACTTTGTCGAAGAAGGCAAAATCAGCCACGTATTTTCCTGAAGGGGACAGGGAGACGACAGGGGGAAACTCGTAGCCCCACAGGATCTCGTCTGGTAGGTAGGACGTTCGAACTTGGCAGGTTGCCGAGGTTGGCTCAACTGTGGCACTCATGATCACAAGCAGCTCAAAGTCAGCCAGCTCCGGGTCTGTCCAGCCACCACCTGCAGGACCGAGGACAGAGAGTAAAGGCCTATTCAATTTTGGTCTTTTAGCCCATTAACAAAAAACAAAAAACTACCATTTTCCAACGCAAAGCAAATGGTTTTAACATAGTAAAGTATTAAAATTACAGAAACTGAAAACCTGCTTGAAAATTGCTTTTCTATTACAGTATGAGAAAACTTAAGAAATTACTTCACAAAAGAGGAATAAAAAGCTACATTTTTTGCTACTTGATGGCATCTTAACAAGCTAAAAACAACATGGCAACATTTAGAGTCGTAAAGCAAAGAAAACCAAAACAATGAGCCAAAATGAGCCAAAACGCTCCATAGGGCTGAAGGGAACTGCAAAGTCAGGTGATAGTGACACATTTCAGGTATTTGATCCATTGTCAGTATAAAGCAGCAATATCTTTATTTACAATTCATATAATGAAAGAAAGTCATAGAAAGACACGCACAAACCTGCACACACACACACACACACACACACACACACACACACACATCAACACGCATACGCATACGCACACACATGCACACGAGCTGCATGCACATCCTGAAATTTCCAAAACATAAAACTCCCCACTTCCAGACTGATCCCAAAAACACTTGACCGGCTCACACACACACAAACACTTACAGAACTCATATCGGAAATTTGAACACACACACACACACACACACACACACACACACACACACACACACACACACACACACACACACAGAAAGCAATAGCTGCCACAGGTTGGAAACACTGTAGTCATAGATGATTGAATATGATTTATATATATTCTAAAACACATGCAGAATGTACTTTTCATTCAACACACATCCCCCATAACACAACGGACGCGCTAGAAGACATATGCACTCAAACAAGCACACACCTGCATCAACAGGCCTCACTCAGAATGCAGACTCGGTCATCTGTCTAAACAGTCCTTCCTCTAACCCAGACCCAGTACCGCTCCCACCAGGGCAAAAACACCAGGTTTCGCAACCCCTTGTACACACGGCGACACAACCGTGGTTGAGGGATTCTCTGTATTGGCTTATTGTGGGCGAGCCAAAGGGCTCCATCTGCGTTTATGCAGTGATCTTCCTAGCATCACTACCATCATGGCTCTATAGGGATGGCAATGTCGACCCGTTGGTTGATCAGTTCGCCTCTCTGGTCTGAAATAACTATGGATTTCCATGAAAGTTTGTTCAGACAATCACAGTTCACAGACAAGAAATCCTGATGACTTTAGTGATACTCTGCTTCCTCAACGCCACCATGAAGTTCAAATGTGTATTTTATCCCCCTAAGGATGAATTAACACAGGTGAACCTCTTATTTCATGTATCGCCACTACCAGGTCAAAATTTCAGTTTATCCAGCAGCTTCAGCTCTACTTTGTGTCTTGTGATAATTGCCAAATGTTTGCATGCTAAAATGCTAAGACAATGAATGTGGAAAACATACCTGCTTTTAACATCAGCATGTTAGCATTGTCACTGTGAACATGTTAGCAAGCTGTTGTTAGCACAGTACAGTCTCACAGTCTCGTAGACTCTTTACCTCGTATTACAGTTACTACTTTGGTGTTAGCTTTCATAAGATTCACATAGCTAGCTAGTAAGTGTTCATTATTTTAATTATTATACTATTGCTGATAAAAACAAAACTGTCATGACAATAGTTGATCATTTCTGGGACCTTTCTTGTCTGTTAGCCACTAGTTCTCCCGTTGTTTCAGTATGCAGTGTGTTCCTGCCATTCCCCGTCACCTGATCTCATCACCCGCCTGTTTCTAAGATCGTATTCAGCTCCATTAGAATATAATACAGCACAGTACACCTGCCTTCTTTGCCAGATTGTTTGTTGTGGCTTCCTGCCACAGTGTTTCAGGCTCTGCCTGATCCTGTTTACTTCCTGCCTGCTAGCGTATGCACCCTTCTCAAACAACAACTTTTTTTGGTTTTTTGAAATCAACCACAGCACAATATCGTGATCGTTCATCTCTACAGGAAATAAAAGCCTTTCATAAATCATTTTTTATAATTTGCATTTAGAGTTTCACTGTCAGCTCTATGTTTGTGAGTGTGTGTGTGTGATACAATACGTACAACCTTATGGTTAAGAGGAATGTGCTTACATTATAAGCTCGGTGGGTTTAGACAGCCATGTCATGTCTCATAAACTGTCTCCACAGAGTCCTGCACTCCTGATTTAATGACTCACAGTCACACAATGCCAAGAAGATTCACACGCTGTTGCACTGAAAGCCAGTATTCAGTGCTCCTAACAGAGCTGTTCCCTGCTGAAGGAGAACATGTCCTGAACATAAAGAGATAAAGAGAAGGTTTGCAGGGGGCTTTAAAGCTCTGTCAAATGAACCAGTAAGTGCAGAATCATGCTCAGTCATGAGTATCATCAATGTGTCTTCTCAAAGTGTACATTAGGGATATCCACCCGTCCGTTCATCCATGCATCCATGATCTATTCCTGCTTATCCTGTGCAGAGTTGCAGAGCCGGAGTCTATCCCAGATCTCAATGGGCCAGGGGCAGAGTACACCCTCGGAGGGTCGGTTGCCACTTTATCACAGAGCTGACACACATACACAATCATTCAGACTCACATTCACCTATTCAAGAAATTTTGGCAAAAATTTAAATGACCATTTTGTTTTATGCTACTTTTTTATGTTGAGAGTTGTCATCATGTCTGGATTTATGACAGGAAATAACCGAGATGAAGCAACAATGGATAAAAACCGGATACTGTTACAGTAGGCACTGACACTGACTGTAGTACTATGGCCAGTATTATGTGCGCTGTAATACAATCCCTTAAATACGGCTACAGTTAAAATAACAGGAAGTTCAGGAATCACAACAAAGAGGATAATCATAACTGAAGAAAAGTTGTAGCTGGTGGGGAGGTACTTATGGCTACAAGTAAACACTGATATTATACTGATAATAACAAATGTGAAAATCTAGTGTGTCACATGAGGCCAAGGACAGAAATAAAAGAAGTCATCCACGGTAAATTAGTAATGTGAGTGTAAATAACGCAGCGATCAGAGCCTGTCAGTGCTGATGCCTTTGAAGCTTTCAGTGCTGGGCGCTCTGAGCCGCTGTAAGTGGATCTGCGCAGGCTTCGTGTCAGCACCCCGGACTGTACAGCATTGTGCTCTAATGAGGGGTCTCTCTGGAGATCTCTCTCTCACACACATTCCAGCCAGAGAAACCCTCTCCTCCAGTGCCAAACCAGCCCAACTCTGGACGGTCAGAGGCAGCCAAGCACGCAGCACATGACCGTAAATACCAAACACACCTACGTACACATACATACTTAATGTACATACAGTTAGTCTCAAGAGACACGTGAAAAGTTTAATTTCAAATAAAGAAATTGACCAGTTGCTGACAGATATTACACCTTTTGTCATTAAATTAATGCTGGTACTAACGTATACTGGTATTTGAGTTTCAAAGCTTCAAACCAATAATAATAGCAAATGTTCATATTGTTCATATTCTTTTACAGTAATTCTCGCTTCTAATATCGATATTGATATAAGACACTCCTTCGTATGGCCCAGTTAGAGCTTTGGTGACCAGTGTCAGACAAGTAGGTTTCATTATGATATTAGTTTGTCAGACTTAGAGCCATGATATACCTTTTGCTGCCCAGGCTCTGAGAGGGCTGTTGTCGTCAATGATGTGGTAGAAGGTCAGGGGGATGATGAGGAAGGGGCTATCGCTGGACGTGTCCACTTGAAAAGGCACATTGCGCTGGTCCAGCCGCACCGTCTCGCCCTCCTTCGTCAGGGACGTCTGAAGCAGCTTTCCCGTCACCTGGGAGCCAAGATGGAGTCAGTAAATGCAGCCAAGAGGTTGCAGAAGGCATCCTGTAACCAAAAGGCCCCAGGTTTAATACCTGAAATGGCCAAGTGATGTGTGCTTGGGTGATGCTATGAATGACATGTTCAGTCAATGTATGAGTCATTACTATGTTTTATTCCAGCAAATTTATTGCACTAAAGCAATTCAAAGGACTTGAAAGGTTTTTATTGACAGGATGTGACTCAGAATACTATGTTCCAGTGACTCAGTCGGATATGGTAAGACGACCTATAGTGTAGATCAAATGCTTTCATGTACCTGATATTACAATAGCCCGTTTAATAAACTCATGGGTCTCATAAAAGCTTTTTTATGTTTTGTTTTATGGACTTAAATAGGTTGAATGAGTGTGAATGGCTTCACACACCTGCAGAGCAAGTGAGAATCCATAATGGAGCATTCAGAGAACTGCATACGATGTGTGTTCAGACAGATTTAAAACTATGGAGCTATTTGAGGTTGTAATTATCATTAAATATGAGGGACAAAACTCACACATATAAGCTCCAAATGTGACTGATATCACTGTGTATCACATGCAAATAATAAAATCAGACTATAATTATTACAGAAATAAAATATGTCCAGAAGGTGCTTTAGTCCCATTACCTGGCATCCTAACAGGAGGCTTTTGCGCATGTTGGCTACTCGGATCATGAGGCAGGGACGACCCTCATGATTTGACACAACAGCATGTTGACTAAACTTCACTGTCTCACCTCGCTTCTTGGGACGAGCGACCTGCGAGTGGAGAGAAACGTGTCAGATAATGAGATGAATACTGATATATGATGATACTATATACTGTAAACATTTTACATGCCCTTCGGTAATCATCTACAAGGCTTGAGCTGGAAAGAAAGTGAAATTACAGGAACATGTAGATAAACAAAGGGTGTTAGATTACAAGTGAGGAGGAAACTGTTGAGATAATCCTGCTATTGACAGATAAGAATTGTAAAAATCAACATGGTGAAAATCTGTAAGCATAACTGATAACCAAGAAGCTGTAACAATACTGCGTGGGAAGCGGAAGAACCATCAGCCAAGAAGTGCAATTCAGCAATCCAATAAAGGCATAAAATTCCCAAAGTATAGAATGAATGAAGTTTCATCACATCTTTAACAATCACTTTTTACAGTTTCTGTTTTGCTCCAAACTAAAAAAAAAAAAACTACATCTGACTACCTTCGCAAGGAAGGTGCCCGTGATGAATATCTCCATCACCATAGTGATGACCAGCTGAAAAATAAGCAGGACGATTGCAACAGGACACTCCTCTGTGATGCACCGGAAACCGTAGCCAATTGTGGTCTGAGACTCCAGAGAGAAGAGGAAGGCCCCCGTCAGGGTCTTCACCTCCATTACACATGGGGTATGGTTGGAGGGGGGGTCAAACTCTGGAAGGAAGGGAGACAGAACAGAAGATCATGCATTGAGGGGTGTAAACAAATGACCAAGGAACATTTTGTCCCTCTCTCAATGTCCTGCCAGGTCTTTCTCATGCTCTGTATTCCAGTATGTGTTCTTCATTGTCTACTCATTCACAAAAAAGTACTTGTGTCCTTCCGTGTCTCTGTTGTGAAAGCATTACTTTTTGTCTCAGTTCAAGGACATCGTTGTTTGGGGGGAGAAGAGGGATGAGGATGAGATCTACAGATGTTCTTATCAATAGAGCTTGATAAATGTTCTAAGTGAGATAAAGGGCTTTCATAGACTTTCCTGCTTTTTGTATTGCTTTTCTATTATTTTTCACTATCTCTGCAGTATGAATCTCTAGGATCCTCCTTACCCAACAGGTCTCCATGCACCATTGCTACCAGGTACCAAAGAACTCCAAACAGGAACCAGGTCCCAGCGAAAGTGGCAGAGAAGAGGAAGAACTTGTAGCGCCATTGCATGTCCAGAAAAGTTGTCCAGAGGTCACGAAGGTACAGCGCCCCTCGCCCGCTCACATGCTCAATACGTACATTGCTTCGTCCATCTTTGGAGAGGACACGGCGCCTCCTTCGCAGAGCACAGGGCCCTCCAGCTCCTTGTCCTCCTCCACCTGCACCTACACCTCCGGTGACCCCTGTGGAGCTCAGCAGGGGCTTGGTGATGTCGGTCTGCGTCTGGGAGTGGCATACCTTCTGTGGGGAGGAGCCTTCTGAGGAAGGGGGCGTGGCTGATGTCATGGCTGGCACTGCAGGGTTGTGGAGACAGAAAGAGGGAACAACAGGAGGTAAGGAGAGGAGGAACTGTGAGTAATGAAAAGACGAAGAGATTTGAAAGATGCCATATTTAACAAATGAACAGCAGGTGAGTTCAAATGAAAAGGTGATGTGTGCAAAAGGAGAAAAGGAAAGGGGAGAACATTTGATAATGAAAGAGAAAAATGACAGAGTGGAACATTTGCAAGGAGCGGGAGATAACGATGAAGAAGGGGATTAGAAGGACATTTTTGGCTGGACAGTGTTGTGGCTGTCCACGGTGGTCCATCTAAGCCCCTTTCTCCTTTCACTGGGGGCAGCTGGCCTTGTCAAAATAAAAGCCCCCTTTCAGCATGAAGGCACAGCTGCTCTTTCACATTAAGAGCATGATAGCGCTGGTCGCTTCACATGTCGGTTGCATAAGACGGCTACTGAAATGGATGAGGAGACACTATTGACTGTTATTCCAGACGAAAGAAAAAAAGTCTTTGAATTCGAATCAAAGATACGGATATCTTACACTGGTGTTCACCCTCTTCCATTTTGCTGAAAGCTGTTTTCATACTTTCTTTCACTTTATGGACTGTTTTTACTTTAACAGAGACCTTAAGTCAGCAGAGAGAGCAGATGTGATACAACGCAGATGGACATTCGAAGCATAGCAGTAGCTTCTTTGACTAAACCTATTGTGTTAATTACTGTATATTCAAGCTTTGGTATTGCCTGAAGTAGTAGGAAGAGGAGAAGGAGTAATAGTAGTAGTTTCAAGTGATGCATTTCTCATCATGTTTAACTTCAAAAGTATCTCAGAGACAGATCTAGTGTTTTGGAAACTGTCCGCAGTGGAGAACTATACAAAAAGTCAGCGAACACCTCCTTCCTCTCCCGGGAGCCACCGGACATCAATGTAACGACGAAAGACATTGGACTCTAATGACTCTAATGTCGAATAGACATTAAAATTTTGATTGGAAATGAAAATCAGGTCAGGATATCAAAACCCAACGTTGGCTAATTGACATTTTTAGCGGACATTGGGTTTTGCTTTCAACTAGAATATTGGCATTTCATAAGTCATGGTGGTGTTCGCATGAGATATTTGGAGGACGTTGGATTTTGGTTCCTTAACAACACAACTTAAAACCAACAAAACATCAACATCAGCTGTCGTCAGTACTCTACGTCAAATTGATATTGGCGTTGACGTTGCCCTGACAACCCTCCGTCGCAACTTGCATTCAACCAAATATCAGCTAGCTGCTGTTGGGTATTTTTGGTATTGGACTGCCTGTTATGGTTTTGGCTTGGGGATAAACTTGCCCTGACATCAACCCCATCCAAAACCTTTTGTGATAAACTGGAACACCAACTGCAAGCCAGGCCTTATCACCCAACATGAGTGGTTGAGTGCACTAATGCTCTTGTGGCTGAAATCCCTGCAGCCAGGTTCCAAGATTTTGTGGCAAGCCTTTCCAGGACAGTGCAGGCGGTCACAGCAGTATATTAACACACATGGCTTTTGAATTAGATGTTCAACATTCAAATGTGTGTCAAATATGTGTCCACATAGTTTCGGCAACATGGTGTATGTTGAATATGGGCGACCTTTCATTCCCATATAACTCCACCGTCACTTATTACTCAAGTGCCTGTAATGCATTCAAGTGTCAAGTGAATGCTTGTGTCAGAGGCTGGTGGTGTAATTGTAATGAGGCAGTATAAGTGGCTATGGGTGTCATAGTGGTAGCAGTATATCAATTAAATGAGAAGTGTCCCACCCCACCCCTGGGTGCCATGGACACTTATTGTCACTGTATGGGTCGTTCCCTGTGCACTCTTAACAGTTTCACCCTCATCTGGGCTGCAGTTTCTCCTTCTCCTCATCCTTCTTTTCCTTTTCTTCCCTCTTGCTCTCACTCACTGTTTGCTAAATGGCCCTTTTGTCTCAAACTGCCTCTGCTTTCCGGAGAGAATAAGACAAAACCAAAAACAAAACAACAAAAACAAAAGCCTAAGAACCCAAGGCGATCTGATACGTTCTGTCCTTTCCTGTCCTTTTTGACCCTTCTCTCTCCTCTCTCCATGCCGGAGCTCACACTGAGTGAATGAATAGAGATCTGTGTTGATGTCTGTGCTCTGAATACTAAGATGTGGAGGGGGAAGAGAGCGGAGGGAGGCGGGGTCAAGAGGAGGCCCATGTGATTGGCCGTGTCCATCTCCAGCTGAACTCTAGCCCTGAGGAGCTCCTGCCTACACATACAGTAAACACACAGTTGTGTATTAGACATATAGACCTTTTGAGCAGCTAGGAAGCAATACAATACAATTTATTGTCCAAAGGAACGTTTGGTTTGCAAAGCCAAGACCTTACACATAATAATCGGCAGCTAGCAATTGTTGGCATTCCTTTATATTTTTCTTGTTGTCAACAAATTGCATCTTAATACTTTCCAACTTCTCTACCCTCTCTTTTGCATCCTGTTCTGTTAAACTGGGGGCAGCACATCAAGGTGTGAACACAGAAAGCCGCTATAGCTAACTTGTTGCCTATTTACACATCCAGCGGACACAAAGCAACATTAGTATTTGTTTGAAATTGTGTTTCTGGCCGATGGAATCCAATATTCATTCTGCTTTTAGCTCTGTTTTAGTATCCTCCAACTCCTAATGGACATATCTGGCTCTTTAGAGGCTAAATGCTCGATCATGTTCACTAGCTAGTCGCTAACTTTGTCTAGCTGTAGTTTGGCACTGGGCAGGTAGAGGACAGTGGGTTAATCAGAGATTGTTCGGCAGAAAGAATCTGTCTGCTGTGTCTGGAAATGCTTGTTAGAGTTCAGGTAAATTGTCTAGTGATGATTTTCTGTGGGCACATCATTACAGGTGACTCCTCTCACATTAAATATTGTCATTTGATCCATTGTTTTTAAAAAAAATATTAATTAGTGCAGCTTTAAAACAAAAAGTAGCTGAAATAGGCTACATTACGCTAAGTCATTTATAGCTAGCCAACGTAGTGTTTAGCAAACGTTGCTCAAACAGGAGTAGATGTGTATTTTTTGGAGATAGTGCCCACGTTCATTGTGAAAAAGGAACATATCACCAAGAGTAACATTGTGCCTTACTGAATTTTATTAGTTTACAGCGGAGGTTTTCAGCACAGAGGAATAAGCCGCATCAAGTTCAGTAGAATTATCAGTGCTGGTTTTGTTAACAAGGATCAATATCAATATCTACAGTTACTGGTCTGTAAATTAAGTCTTACACTGTGTTTAAAGTGCTACTTAGCATTCATTAGCAGTCTTCTGTGAGCAACAATGCAGTAAGTGGAGGCTGCTGTATAACCAGATCATAAATGGCAATGCAGCAAAACACAGTTGTAATGATGTAAAATATATCTTCATTGGAGGAGTTATAATTTTTAACAAATACTGCATTTCACTAAATATTTAAATGTCCTCATATCTGTTCACAACTACATTATAGTGTGTTATAAACAATATATAAATGTAAATAGGGGGAAATGTTACCAAAGAAAGTTAAATCAATATTAGTAGAGACAAATAAATTCTTGTGAAGTGTATCAGTGTCTCTCGGTCACACTGATGGATTCCCTCTCTTGTAAAATGACTTTTTCCACTCATTGTACGACCACACTCAAGGTTAGGATCTCTTCCTCTGTGTCCGGCTCTCCATCCCTCTCCTTCCCCCTGTCCCGTGTGCACAAGAATCCTTTGTTTTCAAGGAGATGAAAGGGACAAAAGCCACCATTGAAAAATACGACTGGGTGAGCGAGTGAGTGAAAGAGAGGGCGAGTTAGACGGGGAGAGGAGAGCAGGACGGAGTGTCGAAGTGCGTGTGTTTGTGTGGTGTGTGTTTATGGCTGTGTTTGATCGTGTGTGAGTATGCTGTGCTCGAAATTGTTATGGGGCAGAGATGTGTGTGTGTGTGTGGGGAGGGGGGGGGGATAATTGGTTTTGAGGGGAGGATTGATAGAAAATTGAGCATCGGGTGACCAAAGCAGAGAAAGAGGAAAAAGGAGAGAGAAATGGATGGTGGAGGAGAGAGAGGAAAGGGTTTGTAGAGTGAAGGTGGAGGAAACTGATTGGTGACAAAAGACACTCATTAGTATTCCAGAGGAGAGAGTAATCCCTTCCACTTGGCGCCCTTGTCCAGTGTCCACATCCACAAAGAGCCCCTAGCAGCCAGTACACTGCACTGAAAAGACTCAACACAACACAACTTGAATGGCTGTGACCACTGCACAGCACAGCAGCCTGCAGCACTGGACTGAAAGGACTGTCTAAACATCAACACAAGCCATGCCAAGAAGGCATCTGCTCAGCCAACACAACATGATAAAACCACAAACTGACTGGAGCCAAACTAAGCACTGCACATCGACATACAAATGAGCTGCTGTTGTGTCAAAGTCTCTTTACAAATTACAACAAAACATTTCAATCAGGAGAAAACTTCTTCAGCAGCAATTTGTACATAGAAACATCAAATATCATCACTGTCAGGTGAAGGTGAGGCCACAGAGAAATTGGCCGTGTTTTCAGGTTTACCATCATGCATTTTTTAAACTTTCTCTGATGGGTTTGGGGAATTGGCACGACATACCTCCAAAATATTAGCTTCTCAGAAGTAAGGAAAATTGGCCTGTTTTCTGATTCATGGCCATGCATTTTTTTATTTTTTTTTGCATATAATCCAAAGGATTTTTAAGTGGTTTATTTATCTTAGTAGGATAAAGTTCACCATCATCTAAAACATCCGGTATAATCAAATTTGGAGAGTCATGGGTTTCACTGGACAGCCCTTAATTTAAGTTAAAAGCTAAAATTCACCCTATCAAATTAAACACAGTTATATAAGACTTTGACACACCAAAAACTAACCTGACCAACTAATAACATATCATGTATAAAATTCAGTTTCTGCTGTAAACAAAGAGACTATTCTCCTACAGGCAACAGTGGTTTGATGGTTGTTCTTCTTCTGCATAAATTTTAATTATACTATTGATCATTTTGACTCCAGCCCTTCTAAGACCAGCTGTGACGAAGTTTTGATCAACTGGGTACCGGCTGAATCACTATGCCATAAAATAACTAAATCCACATTGTGATAGTCCAGTGTTAATGCAGGTTTTGAAAATAAGAACAATTTGGTTGGTGAAAAATAACGCTAATTAAATGTTTGCAGCATTTCCAAATAGGCACATATGGGCAGGTACAAAACCTCCCACCATAAAGACAGGTGAGACACTACAATCGTTCAAAATCAAACAGTCAGTCTTGTGCAGATAAAAAGTGACAAAAGTAGTTGCGTAAAAAACTACAAAAAAGATAGCTCGATAGTTCATCTGCACACAGCTGGCCAACCACTATGTAAAGTGGGTGCGATTGGCAGATTTCGGGAGTTACAGAAATTGTTGCGCACAACGACATCGATTCTTGTGTGTGGAAGGTGTAGGAGGAGGAGGTTTCAGATGCTTTTTGACCATCTGACAAACCACTCAGCAGAAGCATACTCACACCTTAACTTCTCTTCATTATTCCGTCTGATACTTGGGGGAACAATATGTTCCATGCAGCAATAAATTTCCCCTAATTGCTCATGTAAAGTAATGCAGTTGTGTATAAATGTTAAACTTTACTTTGGCTGATTCTTACGTCGCCTGCATCCCATGTTAACAAAATTCACCTTAATGTGGATTTTACAGTAACAAAAGGAAGTGAAAGTGAACAGTAACCATGGCGATCAGACATTTGTCTCAATGTTTCTGTGTCCGGCAGACCGTCCAAACCTCCATCTAAATCTAACACTTCCCTTAAACCAATCGCCTCTACTTCCCCCGGCCCAGAATTACTATAGCTGTAGAGTTACGACACTGACCTAAATTAAACAATGGGAAAGCAGCTGTCGTCTACCAGGAAGTGATTTAAGACTGACTTTTACAATCTTCTTCCAAGTCAGTAGTAGCAGATGACCTGTCCCTCTGCGGTAAATCTCACTGCTCTACTACTGTTGTGGTGCTGATGAGGATTTCTGGATGAGTTCATGTGATTTGTTTCCGAGCCAAGATTTTCTATAGACTTGGAGTGCAAACACCATCACACCATCTTTTTTTTTTTTCTCTACGTGTTTTGTACAAGTCTTCTATTATTTACTGCGACTACGACTACGACTAGTATCGCTCAGCTATTTCTCACATAACTGCAGCAGAGGTCAAAATGTTCTTTTTCTCTGTTTTGCAGCTTAAATATTTACTGTACTGCTATTAGAAAATCATGTTTATTAATTATAGGCACCCATGCAGGACAGGTGCAGGATATGGAAACTTATGCTATCTTAGATTAAACTTTATAATTTCAGACTTATCTTTGAATACAAAACATTGTACAGTAATAAATATTTAATAAATTTGCTACAAAACTATTACCTTACATTACCATGTAATGATATACAGTATATAGACTAGATTTGTGGGACCTCTCTCTCTACTAACATCCCTCCGCACTGTAAACACAACACAACTGAGCACCTCTCTGATTGCCTTGTATCAGACAGTTCAGATGATTCCTCTGATTCTTTCCTACACTACAATACTCACAGAAGAACTATAACGATACAACAAATGCATCACAGCCAAAAACAAGTGTATACCAGGATGTTAGAGGAATATAACACTGGCACCACCACAGGAAAACAACAATAAAGCTTACATTCATCTTTTTAGTCCACAGATACACTGTAAGTCCTTAAAGTCACGAGAGCTGTCAGATCTGTACATTATTCTCATATTTTGATCTAAAATTCCTCTCAAACCCTTGATAAGTAAAAGTTGTTTTGTGAGTCTTACCTTTCTGTTGACTTGTAACAGAAGTTCACTTTGACCACAGCTTGGAAACTTGAAGATTTAATTAATTTCACTGTCCAGCAAACGTGAAAAAAAACAGATGACAAGTTTTTATCTGTCTTGGGGGGGTGGGGGGGATAAAAAATAAAAATAAAAAAAAGTTGAAAAAGGAAAAGCAATGTCAGGGTTTTGAACGACACACACTTGTTGACAACTCACACATGTTTTACATCACCTCTCACTTTGACATCACATTGTTTTCTCTGTTTGCCTTTAGCGGTCCTTCTACGTCGCTGTCATCCTTTATTTTGAAAAAAAAAAAAAGGAATAAATCTCTCAGGAAAAAAAAAAAAAACATGAACCCCCCCCACCCCCCACCCCCTGTCAGAAGAGAGGCCTGGATGAGGATCAGCCAGCGGTCAGTCAGTGTCTCCAGGCGCACTGGTACTGGCGGTACCGGTTCTGGCTCTCTGTTACTGGGTCATTATGTAATCAGATGAGCACTTCTTCTTGCGTGTGAAACGGAGCGGGAGTCCTGCGTCTGTGTGTCCCAACGCAGAGAGAAGTTAAAGTAGTCTGTGATGTCCACTCCTCCAGGACCCCCCCCCCCCGCATTGCTCAGCTATATAAGCCCCAAAAATATTCACCCAGCCGCTGTTTCACGACATTTTTAATTCATTAATTCAACTCTCCTCCCAGCTTCTCCTCCTACCCTCCCTCTCCATGTCTCTCTCTGACTGTACGCTATAAATGGGCCTCTTTGTTGCGAGGCCTCCTCCGCTGTTTCAGCCTTTGTCAACTTTCTCATGTAAATGTTTGATGGTTATAAGATACAAGCCTGGAAGTTGTTGCACTGAAACAGAGGTATTTACAAATCAAAGACTGGGAAGAAAAAAAAAAAAAACAGGGCTCTTTTCTTGTGCACTTGGCTTCTTGCAGTTTTGCGCCGGCCGCTGTGCACTGAATGGATAATGTCGGTGCATCTCTGTGAGGCTGTGCCATGTCCGCCTGCAAGGAGGGGGACTTGGTGCAGTATAGTACACATGGTCCTGCTGTGAATGGATGAATTAATTCACTAAAGTAACAACCATTATACTGAAACACTGGCCCTGTGGTGGTGGAGGTGGTGGATGTAAAGAAAAAAGCAGTGGGAAGTAACTGAGTACATTTACTCAAGTAGCTACTGGAGTTAAGTTCAATTTTGAAGTACTATTTTCTTCACTTTTTAAGATGTTAAGCACCGTTTTATTTGTTTTTATTTTGAGGATGTTAGGTTCTTGAAGATGTGAGCTGATCATCCTAGTTAACTAAAAATTTGAAAGTAATTCTTCAGGCGTTCAGATGCACATGGGAAGTAATTCTCAAACTTTTTATTGGTGAAAATATTAGATAATACTCCTCTCTTTGCTTCGTCTTAACACTGCTACCACTTTGAATTCATGTCTCACAAAACCCTGGAATATATTTTGATGTACAGATGATCAAAGGTTTGAATGGTTGTAATTAGTATTACTATTTATTTTGTTGTTGAGAGTCTGAAAATCTGTGTTTTGTGAGCCCATGCAGGCCGGGCTTATGCAGAAGACAATAATAAAGAATCATCATTATCATCATCCTCTCTATTTATAATATTAATATATTACAGGTGAAAAGCACAGGGACAGACTACTGGCTGATGCACAAACCCCTGTTGGAATATTATGGGAAGAATGTGGTGATGCAACAGCACATAGAGCAAAGTATATGGTCTAACTCCCTATAGAGTTAATCTACGTCTCTATAGGAGCAGTCTAATAGAGTTTTTTATTCTAAAGAAAGTGAAAAGGGCATGGTGACAGCCCACCATTCAAAGTTTGCCTCTTAACTTTGTTTTGACAGGAGTTAAAATTTACCTCATGTTCAGATGAGAGTCCCCAGGCGGGACGCAGACGCATGAATCTGCAGCAGAGACTCTCGACACAATAACCCAGGCACTGCGCGATATGTGGCCCGGTGGGTTTCACACACACACACATCAATCTGTGGGGCCCCCTCCAACCTGCCAGCGGGTGTTGTTCCTCTTCAATACCCTCTCCGGTCCCGTGGAGCTCAGGGCTCCCCCTTATCCGGAGCAAATGGGGCCCCGCCTGCATCCACAGGGGCCTCGATCATATGTGTGTGTTTACCTTCTGAGTGAGGATTTGGCTCCCTTACAGTCAGGGTCATCCTTGGCTTCCTGTGTGGGGAGCTTCACCTGAAGCCACAAAGCAGCGTCCATCACGATCACTGAGATTGTAACAGAGATGCTGAAGAACTTTTCTTGTACTTGGCAAATAACTGCACAAACATGGAGAGATCTGTAGATTTACTGCTCTGTCAAACCAACATATTGCCTCCAGCAGTATTTAACCTGTTGTGTCTTTCTTATAAAACAAATGTTAGGAGAACAGAGTTGACCTGAGCTGTTACTGGATCTGTATCACAAGTTGCTTTCCTTTGTTTTATTTGTTGTCTTTGTTGTCTTGTCTCTTTTACAAAAACTCTCCGTATATGTCAGTTTATGCACCTGTTCAACATTCAAATTGATTTCTAAAAACAATACTCGGTTTGGGTTTTTTTTTTTTTTTTTCTGTGGTTGTTTTTATTACCCCCCCCCCCCCCCCATTCCCCCTCCCCCTCCCACACAAACATATTTTTGTGGCTGAGCTGCTTTGAGGGTGGATGTAATGGTTAGATTGACTGATCGAAAACTCACACATGGTGAATGAACATTTCCAAGTAACACTATAATTCTTTAACCTGATGATTCTTAAATTCTTTGGAACGAAGTTGTCACCCTCATTAGGCCCCGTGCATCGGAAATAACCTCTCTCCTAAGAGTGATGCATCACTGTGCACAACCTTTCACTTTTTGAGGTTATGTTTGGGCTAATAAATCATTACTATCCATAGATCATACTAATCAATACAACCGTTTATCATTGGTATTTTTAGCCACTTGTTTTTTTTGTTTGTTTTTTTGTGTGTGTGTGTGTTTTTTTTTAACACACTAAACTTAGATGGTGAAGATGGTAAATGTTGCCTGCTTAACATCAGCATGTTGGTGTTGTCGTGTGTTGATAGCATTTAGCTCAAAGCACTGCTGCGGTAAGTAGCCTGAGCTGTTAGCGTGGTTGCAGAATCTTTCTTATGTGGATATTACAAAATTGCACTGAAGAAGACTGATCGAAAACAACAGTGGCGAAGATGCTTGTTCATTTTATTTTATCAATCAAACAGAATTGAAATCATAACAAGCTGCTATAAAGACTTAGACTTAGTGGCCTCAACTCCAATCTGACTACAGCAGGCCTCAGGTTTAACCCAACCAACCACTATAAAAGGCCCGCTTCATGGACTGCCTTTATGTTTGAATTCCATACTATATAGTCCACCGTAAAAGGCTCCATATTGCACTGTATGATATTTAACTGATATTTAACCCACTTCATGTATGTGTGAAAGAATGTGACCTCGGTATAGCAGAAACCCAGACATCGCTGCTCTGTTGTCCGACCGGCGAGAGTTTTAGGAAAACTATGTCACGGAGGTCAGCGGTCACTGAGGGGCAGTCAAGAGAAAGGGGGAGAAGAAGAAAAAGAGAGAGAGGAGGGAGAAGGGAGAAAAAGGGAAAGAGGAAGAGAAAGGAAGCATTAGATGTAATGTATGAGAATAGAATGAAAAAGAGGAAGGAGAAGAAGAAGCTGACAGGAATAGAAGAAGTTAGAGACTGGGATACAGGAGAGAGGAGTTTGTTTGCAAGAGAGACAATGAAAAAGGAGGGTGGGAGGAAGGGGAGAAAGTAGCACACGATGGCGTCATGCGGACCACACTCCCTCCTTTTTACACCTCCATCTTCCGTTTTTTCCACCCCTCTCTTTGTTGACCCGTCTCTTTGGCCCAGGATGAGGTTTGTGTTTCCATCACATGTTCTACATGTTGCCTTCCTCTTTCTTTCTTCTTTTTTTGCTTTCACTTTAACTGCTCTCCATCTCCCTTCAAACACACACACAACACACAAACACACTCACAACACACAAACACACTCACTTCCTTTATACGTCTCTACTTGTCTTACTTCCCCAAACATCTCATTTTTGTTTCTGTGTTTAAGATAAGGTCTTGGTGCACGTAGCAGAAAAAGATCTGAGCATGAACATGTGCACACAAATGTGCAAGCACAAACAGCACAAAAACCACATTACTATCACAAACACACACACACACACTGAAATACAGGGAAACAACAAACAGAAAAAAGAAGCAGAAGAATATTTCAAACCATTATCAACTGTAACTTTTACAAACATCCATAATAATGAGCGAATTTAAAACCATACTGATTACAGTGAAAGACATGTAGCATTTACACACAGAATGTGCAGCCATTCGTGCACAGATCCTGAGTTTTGCTCATTTATACCATTTCTGTAAAAAGCATCTGAGGACAGAAGAAGCTGCTGCAGGAGAGGCAGGTCTAGCACCAGCACTAAAGACACCACAGAAGAAGTGGAGTTTACCAAGCTCTCTTATATAAATAACAACAACCTGTTTCCACAAAAGCTCTCAGAGAGGAAGTCTGCAAGCTTCCTCAAGCATGAAATCATATGAAATAGTCAATGAAAACATCATGTACATGCATGTTTCCAAAATAAAAGCTGTTTAACTGAAATAGTAACAGTAGATAAGCTCAGTACCGGTCTCTCACTCCATCTGGTGGTTACCTCTCATACGCACACTGCAGAGGGACAGTATAAGCAAAAGAAAGACTGTGCATGTGTGTACATATATGGACAGATAGCTCTTTAATTTCTTGGGCACAAGGCCAAACCATGAAACCCAATTTGCATTTTTCTGCTTGTTACAAACTTAAAATTAGATTTGAAACAAATCCAATTTAATTATATTTTTGAGTCTCAAAATTAACCATAGTAAACAGATTAACATTGTGCTTCTTTATGGGTCAAATTTGAATTAGTATGGTCCAAACATATACAAAAAAAAGTGTAAATTGACAGACAAAACAAGAATTTCCACTCTCATATTA